TAAGATCCTCCGGAAAAGGGCGCTTTTTCCGGAGGATCGGGGCCAGTGTAGACGCTCTTTTCCGGCTTTTCTAAAAGCTGGAAAAAAGCGGCGGACATTTTTATTTAAATGCCGCGGGGGATATTTAAATCCCCCGCGGATTTCCCTATTACGATAGCTGAAATTAACATGCCCCTTCCGGAAAAGGGGCCAGTGTAGACGTAGCCTAACAGTGTCACTCAGAGCACTTGTCCACATGCAAGGCAGGTTCATTGAACTGAATTATTCCTCCCATCCAAATCTACCTTGTGGGCAGCTGGTGCTAACTGTGAGACACCTCTTTCAAAGGATGCTGCTATTAAAAACAATAAGTCTGATTTTAGTGTAAATTGGGAGTAATCTGTTAGCAATAATGCTTTATATTATTAGAACAGATCCCCATGGAATGAAAACTGGCCTCACTCTATTGGAAGTAAACAGAGCCAGATTGATTTATACCAACTGGGGATATGACTTCAAGATTTTTTTAAAAAAGTTTTTGTGCTTCAGGCTGGTTAAATTTGACTGAAGGGTTTCCCCTTTGTTTAATAGTGTCAGGGTATGAAGCACCAACACGTTTATATTTGGTTTGCATTCCCCAGCACTGTAGGGATATGTTTAAATGGCAGTTTCTACAACCAGTGATAGTATGTGGAGCCTGTCCTCATAGAGGGACGGCTGATTCTAGAGTAGTTTAGTTGTGGCTAAAATGTGTTATCATCCAATGGCTGTCAGGCGGCTACTAGTAGGCTTTGATGGCAGTCTGAACACTGGAGCAGGGTTTTTTTAGGGTTGGACTGAACCTAGAAGTTGAATGCCTAAGAGAGTTGAATGCCTCCAAAAATCCCACTGAATTTCATGGCGAGTTGGGTGCCTCACTCCCTTAAACTCCTTTGGAAATTCCAGTCCCCACTCATCTTGCACTCCTGAGTTGAGGCACTCTAGCAGGCACCATGGGGCATCCACTGCTCCTTCCTCTCCTGTAAATGGCCCAAAAGTTTCATTCTCCTGGGCTGTTACGGTTTTGTCTTTCATAAGCATTCAGTTTAGAAAAGGTAAATTCTGGAAACCAAATGGAGCTGGTTGCTTTAATGAGGGAAAGTAACAGAAAATGAGAGAGCTGGCTGTTTCATCTCCTTTCTGGGCTGCTCTTTGGGTTAAGAGGCTGTTTTATAAGCTGGCAGAGATCCACACAGCCAAGGCTCACAGAATTATCTCAGTTGGGCTGGTTCACCACAGGATCCCATGGAAGTCAGATGATACCGCCTCTTCCCCCTTCTCGTTGCACCTTCCCATGAAGGGAAAAAAGAGAGAAAATGAGTCTTTTTTTTTTTTTTTACTTGCTTCAGTCATGTTTTGTAGAGATTAAAATCACCGTTAGCTGAACATGAACCATGAGTCTGAGAGGCAGAGTGTGGCCTTGCAAAGGCAGGGAATAGTTACACTTTTTAATATTGGATACAGGGGCAGGCAGATGAATGAAGAAGATCCGGGGTTTATGTCATACAGTACTCAGCACTAAACTCTGCACTCAGGGTGTGTGCAGGCACCTCTCATTTATTTACATTCTGCCTAGGTATTCACAGACAACTTCCTCTAGCAGCATGCACATATCTGGTGGTCCGGTTTGGCCCATTGAGTTCAGTGAGAGTTGTGTAAGTTGGAGCAGAATTTGGCCTAGAGGGAATTGGATGTGTGTTTCCAAGGTCAGAATTTCGCTGTAATTTTTGACACGTGGATGACTACAGAAGATCAGACAAGACAAATACAGAGAAATGTTGTTTCTCTCTATGGACCTGTTTCTTCACTCCACTCCACCAGTTTTACATCTGTGGAAATGCACTGATTTTGCTATGTCTATGTGTGTGTTTTACTAAAATCAGTAATGTTTGTATTTGGAATACAAAGGAGATGTCAGGAAAAACTCCTCTGGTTTCTCCCATAGAAATATAAACCTATTAAAAATTGTCTCAGGTTATGTCCTAGAAAAAAGGGTTTTCAGCCTGTATTTTAAATAGATCAGAAACCTCGTCCTGCTCTTATTGAAGTCTATTGCCAAACGGTGTATGAGAGCAGGACTGGGTCTGAGGTTTGTAAAGCATTTTGAGCATGAGGCGTCTTATACCAGTGTATGTGAACAGGTCAGAAAGGTAAGCTGAATATCGGAAGGGAAATGTCAGTGGTGTTTAGGCGGGCATAATGAAATGGCTTGAGCTGGAATGAGCCATGACACAGAGTTAGCATCCCATCTCTTGCAGAAAGCACACTGGGATTCTGAAGAGGTTATAACCTTTGGTTTTGCTTTTTATCCAAAAGTTGGCACTTCCAGTAGCACAGCATTCCCTAATTCCATGCTGGGAGATTGCAACTTTCCACAGCACTTGGCTCTTCCTTGAGAGTCTCCCATACAGCCTAGGGCTGCTTAGGATGGACAAACTGGAGCTAGTGTGGCTTAGCATCATTAGATTATGTTGGGAAACTGTTTCCTAAACTGCTGTAGCTTTGTTTTATCCATCACTCTCCACTGACTCAGATGCTACAGGGATGTCGATCAATCTCTGAACCATGTATGCAATGTTGCTTAGCTACTCTTGCTGACAAATTGGCAGGATGCTAATCTCTGACTATTTTTGTTTTCTTTGTGGCTCTATTATGAGGAGGATGCTTCACACCAGTTTGCTGTCTGCCGACGTCTGTGTTGGTATCTTTTGTTGTTAGGAATCTTCCCCTTCCCCCTCACTTTATCCCCAGTTGGCAAAGACCTGAGAGATAATCTTTAGAAGAACATAGATTTAGTGCTATGTATAAGCAGACTAGCAAAACATGTGTGTGTCTGTGTCTCTCTTTCGGAAAACAGTGGAGCAGCATAATCCCATAAAGAGAACTCATTAGAAATTCATTAGAATACAAGAGTTTTGTAGATCTATGAATATTTGGAACCTGTTACTGAATTTGAATAACACACTGAATGAAATGCCCCATCTCTAAAGATTTATTCAGAAAGCTTTTGTGCTTGTTACTGAGCAAAACTCCCATTAAACTAGCTACTAACCACCACCTCAGCTAGTACTATGCTTCATTTATGTGTAATGATAATCTCTGGGCAAATGCGCACAGATCACTTTCGTGGAAGGAATAATTTCTCCCTGAGACAGGCCAACTATAAATGGTACCCTGTCAGACCAATTCAGGAGACATGCCACAATATTGTGGAGAAGTCCTATAGAATTTTCTAGAAAGTGACAATCTGTTCATAGATTTTTTTTTAAATACCCCATAGAATTTAATAGAAAATTAAGGCTGTGTTATAGAATTACATAGACTGGTTGGAAAGACCAATATAAAGGATGTCACTTTCCAGTCATTCTATACATTTGGGCTCCGTCTACACAGGCCAGTCTTGCGCAAGAACATATGCAAATGAAGTGTAGTGATTAATATTGCCATCCTCATTTGCATACTTAATGAGCCATTTTGCACAAGAGGCTTTTTGCACAAGAGCCGTTCTGCCTGAAAAAAAGCAGCAAATCAGCACTTGCGCAAGAGGGGATTTTGCACAAGAAGGAGCAGTGTATACTGCTCCTTCTTGCGCAAAAGCCCCTTGAGCAAAATGGTGGCTCATTTGCATATGTTCTTGCACAAGACTGGCCAGTGTAGACATAACCTTGCAGTAATATAGGTTTCACCTCATTAGACCCTGTAGCCTTTGTAAAATGAATACATATGAGTACTGGTGGCAAGTTGATCTCAAGTACAAGAAGGCCACTGAGTTGCCAGCACCCCAGTATATGAATCTTATCATGGACTAATTAAAAGTACAGAATTTGGTAAATTCTGACAAAAATATTTGTAATCTGTAGGCACAGAAAGAAGAGTGTGGGTTTTTAATTATAATTTTGTTTAGATACTGCATGTTATGAACAACTGGACACCACATTCCAAACTAAGATACAAGATTCCTCTGGGTTAAATTTACAGATAAAGGTAATATGATCACTGTAAAATTGAGTACTGTACAACTGAAAGATATGTTCTCAAGTTATGGGTTCAAAGTAAGAACTTGGGAATATATTATGCACAACACATTTTCCCCTTTTGCTAGTGATTATTTATTTTAAGTGCTTCTGGATTTGCATGCCAAACTTGAGACATTTTAAAGTGAGCAAGTGTTCAACTTATGCTGAAGATTAGACCCCTTTAAGGTTCTCACAATGGGCACCAAAAATGGAAACACACAGAACAAATGGTCACTTTTTAAAATTTTGGCTGATAACTTTTGGAAATTTGCTTTTTCAGATCCTCAGAAATATGCTTCTTGTGATTTTGAGCATGATAATAAAACAATGCCAAATTGACAAGGCCAGAACTGGGCTTAACACTAAGATATCTTTCCATGTCTTTAGGAACATGATGAGGTCTTATGGGGAAGCTTTCAAGAGGAAGAGCTGGTGGACTGCATAGACGTCGATGACAATTTGCATGGCAAGACTGGGACCTGCAATAGAAAAGATTTTTGGAGATATATTAAATCTTTTGAGCGTCTCTTTGCCAGTTGCTAGAGGGCAGAAAATTACCAGACATGTCCATAGCCCTCAAGCAAGTTTTTAATAAAGACAAGACTTTCCGTCCCAAACGTAAATTTGAACCTGGGACCCAAAGGTTTGAGCTCCATAAACGAGCACAAGCCTCGCTAAACTCGGGAGTGGACCTGAAAGCAGCTGTGCAGCTGCCCAATGGAGAAGACCTAAATGACTGGGTGGCAGTTCACGTTGTTGACTTTTTCAACAGAATCAACCTGATCTATGGAACTATCTGTGAGTTCTGCACAGAGAGGACCTGCCCAGTGATGTCTGGGGGCCCTAAGTACGAGTACCGGTGGCAGGATGACCTCAAGTACAAGAAGCCGACTGCATTGCCAGCACCCCAGTATATGAACCTCCTAATGGACTGGATAGAGGTTCAGATCAACAATGAGGACATATTTCCTACCTGTGTGGGTAAGTCCCAGCAAAGCCTAGAACCACACACAGATTTTACTCTGTATGCCTAGAATGTGCATGTTCTTCTCCCTATAGTAGAGGCCCTGAATTCTGAATGCTGGAGTGCTGCTGGGGAAGTGTCAGGCATTCCACAGGAGTGGAAAATGAAATGTTAGCTTGTGTTTGTTTTTAAACATATTTAAAATCTTGTCCGCCCAGCCACTCATCCCTGGTAAGCTATTTAGCTTAATTAGCTGTGGCAAGAGGAACAGCAAGAATACCTTAGTAGCCAGTCGGAGGTTAATCAGGTCTGAACGTTCACTGCCTTGAGTAGTCACTAACACCTATACAAGTGAGCCTAAAAGGCTACCTAATCAGAATGGTGGCATTTACATCCATTTCTCCAAGATGTGCATGGCTGTGCATAGTGCAAGGCAGTAGAGAATCAGGATCACAGTGTGAACTGTTATCCCTGGTCCCTTTGCCCCCTCTCCTGTTCCCCTGTCCTCTCCCACCACAAAAAAGAAAAGGGGTGGGGAGAGCGAGGAACTCAAGAGTCTTGTCTGAGCCCAAGTCTTTATGATGGCTATTGCTGCTGCTATTTTCTTTTGCTTTGTAGTTGCAGATTTTTTAACTAGGAACTGGGAGTGTTAAAATGGGATAGTTACTAATTTATAACATAGACACATGGATATATTTATACTGTACTCTAATCCCTGGGCCCCCTGTCAGGATCACAGTCTTGTGTGTGTCCTGTGGCCTTTGGCCATTTCCTTTTGTGCTTTCTTCTGTCATTCTGAGACATTCATTTGCTGATCTTGAAGTTTCTCTCTCTCTTCTGTTGGCATATGCTGCAGGCATGGAAATAGAGGTGCTGACAGCAGAGCAGTGAGGGGCTAACAAAACCATTTGCTGGAGATAGGGGTCACTGCTTCCTGGCAGTATGAAGCCTAAAAGGCTTTTTTAGGTGCACTGCCCATGTATGGGCTGCTCCCTCATGACCCCTCTCTGTTCCTCTGGGTAGCCCTTCCTGCACACATCCCTCATGGGCACCAATCCATGTATTGTGGTGATAGCCTCTTGCCTTATTTTTCCCCCACTGTTCTCGGTTTTTGTTTGAATTTTTGTGAAGTGAGATTATAGCATGTCTCATACAAACAGTTCAAGGCTACGTCTAGCATTTTTGCGGAAGAGGAAATGCAAAGGAAGCACTCATTAGCATTTCTCGCGCTCTCATTTACAAAGTCTCTTCTGATCCGTTTTGCGGAAAAGGTTTTTATGGAAAGAAACGCAGTGTACACAAGGCCATTTTGCACCCAAAAAAACCGTTGCACAAGATCCTGTATACCTTCTTTTTTGATAGATAAGGGATCTTGCATAGAAAGGTTTTTTTTTTTTGGCGCAAAATAGCCCCATCTACACTGAGTTTTTTTCCGCAAAAACCTCTTGCTCAAAACGGTTCGGAAGAGACTATGCAAATGAGAGCGTGAGAAATGCTAATGAGTGCTTCATTTGCATTTCCTCTTCCGCAAAAATGCTACAGTGTAGACGTAGCCCTAGAGATTGAAATTTTCCATAAAGCTGCAAATGTCTGTCTCCCTGCAATTCCTTAATCATGCCTCAGTCTTTGTTTCTGGGATTTATGTCTATAGCGTGGAAGATAGTTCAGTCTCCATGCCCACTTGAGACTACTGTGCTGAAGCCATCAACACTGGTTTTGACAGAAGAGGGGTTTTTTTTAAGTAAGGTTTTATTGGTTATCCCTAAAGAAACAGACAATGAAAAGTACAAAAAGCTAAATGGTTTACAGTTTGTATATGTTTCCAAATACCTCATGCTGCATGAGATCACAGCAAAATTATAGAATTACGCAGCTTTACAGTTTGTCAAAGCTGCAAGGCTGAGCATCACAAAGCCAGACAACATTAACATGTAGGGTGGGAGTAATGGTAATAAAATAGACAAGGAACATGATCGGGGAAGATGGGGGAGAGGGCAAATGAGGTTAGGTGAAAAGGCTGGTTTGAGTCATTTCAACTTTGTATATACAAATGTCTCTAGAAATGGGGTACAAATGTCAGAGAATTCATGTTGCTGTTCTCTGTGGTGATGAACTCTTTTTTCTTTGTCTGATAGGTCAGACAGGTCTGAATACTGTTGCTCTATTCTGAACATAATATTCAGATTCATGGGTTTTTAAGGCCAGAAGGGTCAGTTTTCATTTTGTTTGACCTCCTGCATAACAAAGGCCACAGAACTTCACCAAATAACTGTGCATCGAGCACGTACCGTGAAATGAGAATTCCATATGAGAGACAGTATGTTTTACCAGATTGAACATGGGCTGGGAGCCAAGAAATTCTGCATTGTAGTTCCAGCACTAATATTTTATTTAAGTGGTGATATAAGTTCACGTTGGGTATAAATCGATCAGAAACTAGGTAAGTTCTAAAGGTGCCCCAATTTGGCAATTAGTGGAAATGCAAAGTTACCTGTGCTGTAAGGACCTTGTCTAAACTAAATTTGGAATGCATTAGCTACCAGCCTAGTGTAGCCAAGGCAGTCTTAAAACTGATGCTCCTCCCTATGCTTTCACTTGACCAGTTTAACATATTAAAAGGTACACTACACTAGGGTGTTTATATGTGGTAGATGACACCTTCTGTAGACACCTGGTGTAGATAATGCCTGAGCGGTGAGGCAGTGGTGGCCTATCATATGGATGAAACAAAGGATCCTAACATACACTAGGGATGTTAAATGTCGGTTAATTGAATAGTCGAGTAACCTCATGAAATTTTATCGGTTAGTCGACTATTCTATAGTCCTGGGGGGAGGGGCCGGCAGCTGGCTTCACTCCCAAGGGGGCCCCTGCCACTCCACGCTACTACCTCTGAACTAGGGATGTTAAATATTGATTAATTGAATAGTTGATTAACCTCGTGAATTCTTATAGGTTAGTTGACTTTTCTATAGTCACTGGGCAGCTCCTGTCCGGGGGAGGAGGGGAAGGATCTGAGCTCCTGGACCCAGCATGAGCCAGAACTGTGCTGGGCTGCCTGCCTACCTGGCTCCTACTTTAAATGCAGAGCTGCAGCAGGGGTAGGTCCAGGACCCAAAGCAAGCCAGGACTGATGTAGGCTGGTGGCCAGCCTGCTAAAAAACTTACTGGCAAGAAGTAGGGGGGGAAATGTGTGTAGTTTATAGCATTAACCAATACGCTTTTGCTTATCGGTTAATCGACTACACGATTACATCCCTACTCTGTACTAGAGGCAGCAGCACAGGGTGCCAGGTGAGAGCTGGTCCACGAGGGGAGACAGTTTAAAAACCAGCTCCGCTCGCGGACCAGCTGCCCGTCGCCCTGTGCTGCTGCCTCTAATAAAGAGGCAGCAATGCAGGGTGGCAGCAGCCCCAGTGTAGAGCAGGATCAGAACTCCCTGACCCATTGTGAGCCAGAACTGAACCAGGCTGCCTGCCCACCTGGCTCCTAATACACTTTAAATGCAGAGCTGCAGAGGGGTCCCGAACCCACCATGAGCCAGGACTGAGCTGGGCTGCTGGCCAGCCTGCTAAAAAATTTACTGGAGGAGGGAGAGAAATGCATGTGGTCTATAGCATTAACCTATAAGCTTTTGCTTAATCAACTACACTATTACATCTCTAACATACATTTAATAGATGTTTATTATAGTTTCTTTTTAACCATTCTGTAGCATTTTAAGACAGGGATATAATTAAGGAATATAGAATGGTTCAAAAAGTCAATACAATAGTTACATTGTCGTTTACACTTTCATTAGTAGTATACAACTTTTCCTTATGGGCAGGAAAGCAACTAACAGGAGGGTGTAATGTGACGTGGCATTCCATATGCTTCATGAAAATATATTTATAATGTGAATATGCCAAAATTGAAATAGGCTTTATACAAGATGGCTCATGTAAGATAGCATTAGAAAGCAAAAAAACCAGAGAGTCCTTTGGCACCTTAAAGACTAACAAATTTATTTGGGCATCAGCTTTTGTGGGCTGGCACCCACTTGATGCATCTGATATTAGCGTTATCCCAAGATTCTTTTCAGTGTGTCCCAAGCTTGAGTGAGTGAGCTTTAAGAGCTTTAGTTTGGTTAATGAAATGTAACACCTTATTAGTTTAATCCCTATTAAATTACATATGAACTTCCACTAAGGAAGAATTGGCTTCTTTTCATAATATTTATAAGTTTAAAATTTTCTACTCTGTGGGCAGCATTTGGCTATAAAGGACATTAAAATCAAAAGCATAAAATGTATTGTACCTCTTTGAGTCCTTTATAGCCTCTCACCCTGTCCTGGTATTGGTAATTAAAGGCCTGAGTGAACAAGTATGCTCTGATTCATCAGACTGGACTCTGGAGGACTACTAGGGGAAGCCAGTTCTGTAAGGCAGCAGATCATCCAACTCTCTGATCTGGGAAAGCATAGGTTTCTTCTTCTCTGTTTGGAAAGTGAGATGTTTAATTCCCTCTGCAGTCCTTGCCCTACATGAGTGAAGAAATCAACAGGTGATGGATAGGCATGTGGTCATTGTGTCTCTCCAGTCATCAAACCACATCAATTTTGTGTGTGTCAGACAATTGCAGAACATTTCTGCTTTCAAGACCCTGTCAAACTAGGTTATATGTCACCCCTCCTCCACCAGCCTGGTTTTTGTTCCTATTGTTCAGGAGCTAACAGATGTCTCTGCATAAACTAGACCAGAAGATAAACCAGCTTTTAAACTTCAAAAATAATAAAACAAATAAAGACAGTTGCCACCTCCATCAGCAGGGCTGATAAGCATCCCACTAGAACCCTCTGGATAATGAACAGTGTAATTTACAGGATAATTAGAAGCCTGGTCTTCTCACCACTCCAACACCTGTCTTGTGTAGCTCATTACCGCTGAGAACAATTAGAATCCTTGTTTTTTGGTGTTACATAACGTGTTCACTACCTCAGACTCTGTGCCTATGAAAGAATTAGAACCAAGGCAT